TCAGTCTGAACCTGTGTCCAGATAAATGTAAGATTTTCTTAAGAAAACTCAAAATTATATTACTGATGTTTCAGTAAAATAAAAACAGTGATTTAATATAGTGATATTTAATAGTGATTTATAAAGTGTACTGTCTGGATGTGCCGGTCTTATCAATGAACCAACAGAACAGATACCAGAGTTTACTCTGTAACCTGGACGTCCTTGGCAGAAAAGAAAAACAGTCTCTKCCCGTGTAGATGACAGCAAACAGTCTGCATGCAAAGTCACTGACTTTATTTTCCAATCATGTAAGTTAAATGTACATGTTTCAGTAAAATATTTCACATTTTAAAAGAAAAGAAATAAACTGAGAAAAATTGCATTTAAAATGTGTTATAACCGTTTGGGTTAAACTTTTTATGTTTTTCACAATCTTGTGCAAGATTTTGTCAAAGGTTTTATTGCTCAGAAAATGTGTTGAGAATGATTCTTGGCTGCTATCGCACCAAAATTTGCTTCAGTATCTGTAAAACTGAGGTTTAGCCATTTTTTTTTTTTTATTATTCTGGCTAGGATCAATGAGTTGTTTGGGTCATCTTGATTTGGGTTGACTTCAAAAGTTAACGAGTTTTAGATGTACAGACATTAATTACTCTGAGTTTCATTAAACTGTCATTAAATTATTGTAAAGTTTAAACTAAATTTATTGTGCAATGAGCAGTTCTTCAAATGTGTTAAAGATGATGCTCAGATACTACTACAGCAGATTTTAAATAAATACTGTAAGAAATTACTGGGTTTTAGCCATTTTTGTGTTTGGTATGTGGCAATCGTCATGAATGCAGTTGACTCTGAAGGTTAATCAGTTAGATGAATATCCACCTCCCAGTTTATTAAATCTGTCCACGGGTTTATTTTGATATTTTGCTAACAGATGCAGGGTAAGTCATTATCGCCTTTTGGTGGCAGATGATGATTCATAGTCATGTTTCTGTGGATGTATAAATAGTTCAACTATATATATAT